GAAAAGGGCTGAACATATTATTACTTATAAGAGTAGATTTAATAAAACATAAATTGATTATTTTCTTATGAGAAGAAGAGATCGTCGTGATTGTAATGATTGTAAAGTCATTCCAAGTGAAAATTTAAATACCCAACATCGTTTATTAGTTTTAGATTTTAAGATTAAGAGTTGTAAAATAAAAAATACTAGGACTCATCATTGCAGAATTAGATGGAGAAACTTAAAAGATACAAATAAAATTAATTTTATGAGTAAAATTCAAGATTTAAAAATTTGGGATATTCATGAAGAAACAAATGTGATGTGGGATAAAGTATCAAACGCTATTAAACATGTAGCAAAAGATTTTCTTGGAGAATCAAAGAAAAAAATATTTACAAATAAAAATAGTTGGTGGTGGAATAATAATGTGTAAGAAAAGATAAAATATAACAAGTTATGTTATAAAAATTGGTTTAAATGTAAAAGCTTAGAGAATTGGAGAAAATGTCAAACGGCCCGCAGGGAGTCTAATAGAATAATTTGTGACGCTAAAAATTCTGCTTTTAATGATCTTTATAATAGATTAGATACTAAGGAGGGTGAAAAATATATGTATAAACTAGCCAAACAAAGAGAAAAGAAAAGTAAAGATTTAACTCAAGTAAAGTGTATTATTAATTTATTTATTATAATTATTTAATGAGAAAATAAGGAAAATTCACTTTTAAGCTTTTAAATTTTATTTTTAACTTAGAAAAATTAGGAAAAATATCATAATGAATTCTAAGTGATCAGGGAAAGCTTGTACACATTTTGAACCATTTTTTGTAGTTTTAAAAATTTTGATTATTTTAATTATTTTAATTCAAAATACACTTTGAAAATGAAATTTTTTCAAAAAAATAGATTATAAAACTATTTTTCATGATTTTTCTAAGCTTATTTAATTTATGATAATTATTTTTGTACAAAAATACAAAGTTACTTTAAAAGTTAATTTTAGTGCTTAAATTAAGCTAAATAATTTTTAACTTTTACAGTAAGTAAATATGATTTTTATGCACAATGTGGAACTGATTTTGTCAAATTTCAATAAGTGTATAATTTACATAAATTATCACAAGGTTTATATATTTGATTAAATATAGAAATGTACAAAACAATTCGAAAGATCATAATATTTTTCATAGACTTGTCTGGCCAAAGGAAACCTACTAAGATTATCCTCATAATTTTCCAAATTATATTTTGATTTTTATTGATTTAGAAAAAGCTTACGATAAGGTTCCAAGAGATATCCTTTGGAGAGTTCTCGAGAAGAATTGTGTTGATATGACTTATATTCAAGTCATTAAAGATATGTATACTAGAGCTGTTACTTGTGTTCAAACTGAAGGAGGATTGACAAAATATTTTCCTATTTCTGTTGGTTTACATCAGGGATCGACTTTAAGCCCATATCTTTTTGCTTTAGTTATGGATGGTCTTACTGGACATCTACAAGAGGATGTACCTTGGTGTATGCTTTTTGCTGATGATATTCTTCTCGTGGATAAAACGAGAGAAAAAGCCCAGGAAAAACTTGAATTATGGAGGTCTACATTGGAGTCTAAAGGCCTTCGTTTAAGTAGAACTAAAACTGAATACATGGAATGTAATTTTAGTAGTAATAGCTCTAGTGACAGAAGTGTGACTTTGGGTGATCAAATTATTAAAAGGTGTGAACGATTTAGATATCTTGGGTCCGTTGTCCAAAGCGATGGTGATATAGATGGGGATGTTAATAGTAGAATTCAAGTTGGTTGGTTGAAGTGGAGGAATGCTTCGGGCCTTTTGTGTGATAGAAAAGTACCGCTAAGACTGAAAGGAAAATTTTATAAGATGGTGGTGAGACCTGCAATGCTCTATGGCGCTGAATTGGCCTTTAAAAGAGAAGCATAATAATAAGTTAAGTGTTGCCGAGATGAGAATGATTAGGTGAATGAGTGACTTTACACTTAGAGACAAAATGCGGAATGAATATATTCGTGATAGGGTTGGTGTAGCTCCTGTGACAGACAAAATTAGAGAAAGTCGCCTTAGATGGTTTGGTCATATTAAACGTCGACCATTAGATGATCCGATTAGGAGAGTAGATGTTTTAAATTCGACTTGTGTTAAGAAAGGCAGAGGTAGACCTAGGAAGACTTGGGCTTATTTTATTAAAAATGATCTTAATTTACTAGAACTAAATGAAAATATGACACTAAATAAAACGCAATGGAGAAAAAGGATTCATGTAGCCGACCCCACGTAGTGGGATTAAGGCTTTGTTGTTGTTGTTGTTGTTGTATTTTTATAAGTAATAATTTACCCATTTCTTTTCTTAAATAAAATATTAGTAATAACAAAATCCTAAGTTAAAGCAAAATTCAATTTGATTCTACATTTTTCATTAATCACTTCTAAATCATAGTCTCCATGAATATTTTAAAAGCTTGTACCACTGTACCAACATATTCATTTAAATCTTCTCCAATAAATAATTTATTTGCTGGAGGGATCATCTGTAATAATTCTTCCCAGTTATTCCAAAATTTTTCTTTTAGACATATATCTAGAGCTTTGATGGAAGTAAAATTGTATTTTTTAAGATGTTTCTTTTGTATGACAGCTTTCCATCATGAATCATGCAGGAACATTGATATTCTGACGATTCAACTTGATCCAATTTCTCCATATACAGCTGTAGAACTTTGATCAATGAATATCGCTAACACATAAAGGTTATAATTTTCTTATACAGGTCTTGGATTGGAAGGTTGTATAGAACATGTTTGGCAAGATACTATAGTATATCTTGATAGCAATGATCCAATTCTGATAGGCCGTGCATATGGTAGAGTTAGCAGGCACTTGTTGCACTCTGAGTTGTTGAGAAGGTATGCAAGGATATAAAATTTTGAGGCATTTATGTAGGAAAACCTTCCGTTTGCTGATAATTTCTCCAGGTGTCAGGAAACTCATGTCGAATTTCTTGATTCAAAAGTGGAAAAGATTATTGAAGCAAGCGATGGTTCGAGTATTGTTGTATGTGAAGGTGATCTCATGATTCCGTGCAGGTATATTAGATTACAAAAATACATTTTAATTATTTAGATATATTTGAAGCCAAAGCAAAAGTGTTCTTTTGTTAATACATAGGCTTGCCACTGTTGCATCTGGAGCTGCTTCAGGGAAACTTCTCCAGTACGAGGTGGGGGGTCCACGAGTGACCGTGCAAACAGCATATGGAGTGGAGGCTGAGGTAGGTAGTACAACTATCCGATGCTTTTTTTTTTGTGTTGTTAGTTATGTCAGATGCTATTCTGTTTCGCTCAGCTTATTACACATTCTATTAACTAGAAAATGAAATGCTTTTTCTATTGTGACAAAGGATAAATGTTGTCAATTAGTTACCAATAGATGTTATTGTTTGCTTTGCTTTAAAGCGGGCGGATTTGTTAAGGATTCTGCGACAACTGAATATGTTTTTGGACTTCTTGAGTGTTAAAATCATCTATAGATGTTTAAGTGTACTGGGGTGGGATAATAAACACGGTAAGAACGCAGCCAGATGTTGGAATTGGCAATGTTTGCCAAATTAGCATGATAAATATCTTGAAGCCTTTCAAGATCTCTCTTCAGTTTAATTTTCTTTTAGTTAGTTTGATTACACTTCTATCTCTCTTGTTTTCTTTCCTTGATGGATGGTGATTGTAGAGCTATGAAATGTGCTCAATTCCATCTTTTTTTTTGTTTTTTCTCCCGACCTCATGATGTCAAAGTAGAGGAAGTCTCTTATAGATCATCCTTAAAATGTTGCATTTTGTATTCTATTTCAAAATATAAAAATTGAGTGCAAAATTATGTAACTGTGCATGTACAAAGTGAGATCTATCTTTCCTAGTGAGAGAGAAAATACGTTTCTCGTGTACATGCTTTAACAAAAAACTATCCTATAAGGCAAGCTGTGTATAAAAACGAGCTGCCCTGCTGTGCTCTTTGGGTACAAATGGAAAGAGCACCTATCTTAATCGGGTGAGGAATGTGATAATTGCACTTTTCTGTGGTCGGGAGCTCTATCTATCTTTTATCTATTCAATGCACGAGGAAAATCAATTCCATTGCTACTGTCCACTTCAATAATGACCGATTTCATTCAAGACATCCAAGGCTTCAGGATGCTTTGATAGAAAGAATAGTTGTAATCTCTACATCAGCAATGTTCCCAGCTGTTCCCCTTCTCATCTCTGAGAAAGCACACCCATGCTTGCCTCATGGGTTGTAAGTAAAGCAATGTCAACATTTTCCTTTATCAAACCGGGAAGGGGGTGGACCAATGGGTTATACTGATGTTAACTTTCTTTTTTTTTTTTGCTTTTTAATGGAAATAAAGCCAGTCTAATCTACCAAAAACTCTCTACACTGATCCGAAGTTCTTCAATTATATCATAGATATTTAAAGGTATACACAGGGCATACCTCACTTAATGAGAATAGGGGAAATTTTTTTTATAACACCTAAATCATGGCTATATACATAACTGGCATTCTCTTATCTCCAAATCTTAGATTCTCTCTTAGTCATCCAATTTTATAATAAAATCCTAACTTTTTTTCGTTTTTATAAAACTTCCAATGCTTTGATCATGAGATGCACAAGTATAAGGGGTTGTTAAAGAAATGACATAAATATTAGTTTTATTAATCTTCAAGATTTGAGTGTTGTGATCAAATCTTTCTCTATTAATTCTGCCTCTATTAATATTTCATCGAACCCAGTAATCTTCACATTTATTATTCACTTTATGCCATCTTGGCGATCCATGGAATTAGTACTGCCACCTCATCATTTGTGGTTTATCATAATTTTTTAGCCACCTAATCAATCTGCAAACTATTGTAATTATTATTTTTTATTATGTTTGTTTCTTTTTAGAAGCTTCCATAGGATGATCAAAATTTTACATAAATGTTGAAATGAAATACTCAACCACTTCTCTTTACATTATAGATTGATTGCCTATAGAAAGCCTTGAGTTTAGGAGTCCTACTTTAATGTTAAACCAAATTCTTTGCTTCAACACCTCAAATACCTTTGTTTTCAAGATGCTTGTTAGTGTTACCATTATTCATTTGTATCCGTACACGATAAAAAACCATGATTGAAGATCAATTAAAAATACTTTTTTGGGAACTTGTCTAGTTAAAAATGGTACAAATACTACTATCTCTCATAAGAAGATGAAGAGAATTCTTTTACTTTCTTGGTGTTTACGCAAGGGAAGAAATATCATTCACAAATATATTTTTTCTCCAAAATTGTCCTTCCTTACCAACTTGACTCGTAACCAAGTGCTCCTACATAGATTAAGCTTATACTATAATACTCAATCATTATGAGTTTATTCACAGAGGAAGGTGCCTCTAGTAGGCACAAGTCCAACCCAATAGTCCATGAAACTAAACACGTTGAGGTAATCATCAATCCTGGAAATAAAGATACTTTAACCTAGCATGTGGTCTTGTCATATAAATATATTTTTTTCATCACCACTAATCCTTCCTTGCTAGTCTTCATGCTATTTCTATCCCTAAAGTTATTATCAAGGCCTTAAATAATAATAATTTGAATAACATGATGAAAGATGAAATGGAAGTCCTTGGAAATAACAAAAATATGAGAATTAATGATTGTACTAATAGGTTATAGATGGCTATTTACTGCAAAGTACAAATGCAATAGCTTATTAGAAAGTTATAAATGTGGACCAAATCCTTTATCATTAACAACTAATAAAGATAAAAAAAAAATACAATAATTTTTTTATGAATAATATCATCTTTTATAATGATTTAGAAGAGGAAGAATAGATGGAGGTCCTATCAGGTTGGGCTCAAATATATAGTAGAACACCTGTAAAATAGGTTAGTGATTGCATAGATTGAAGCAATATCTAAGTATATGTTTCAGTGGTTTGCCAATATCATGCTTAATATGAGATAAAAATAGAGTCAAGCAGATTTTATATTAGCTGTGATATGCACAACTTTTCCGGCAGGGGGTGGTAGTAGTTTATTTTTACGTCATCGTCCTTATAGGTTGTGTCTTGAGTAAATAGCATTTAAAGAAAATGTTGGTTTGAGCTTTTGAAGTGAAAAAATTAAGTCAGCTAAATTATTTTTAGCACAATGCTGTGCACTCCTGACATATGTCATTATACCACAACAAAATTACATAATAAACTTATTGAAGCAAATAGGCATGTTGAGATGCAATTTTCTTGAGTGCACATAAAATTTAATTATAAGTTTGGAGATGCTCTAGGGGATAATCATAGAAAAGATTCCCTATAAAAGGCTTGTAAGTGATTTATCTATTTATCATAAAGTAGAAATATGCTGCCTACATTATGAGTGTAGTAAGTTGATTCTTGTACATTCCTAATGAATTGTTTTTTATTGCTATACATTAAATTTTCGAATACCTTAAAGAGTTCTAGGCAATGGAATTTTTTTTCAATAAGAGAGTAATTCTAACACTTGAGGCCTAGATAGATGTTGATTAAGCACGATTAATGATTACTAAAGGGTCAATTTTAGGGGATTGCACATTCTATGGGGATAATATTGTACTTGAGAAGTAAAAAAAGAAAAATGATGGTAAGTTTTAGTAGAAAAGCTGATTTTAGGCTTGTAACAATAGGAATATATGAATTGTTATGCCTAAAAATTATCATGGAAGATTTAAAGTTTTAATTATAAGGCCTTAAATGCTCTTTTATGACGACAAGTCAGCCATACCGTGCAGTTTGACCTAACAAAACATAATGATCTAATTTCTACACTATTAGTTTCATTGTCAATGGCCAACTTACAGTCATTCTCATCAAAAGATTATAAAAAAAATTATTTTAAAACTTCATGTGTAAACATAAAATTGACATTATGGATATTATCTATTCATTCAGTTAATAGGTAGTTCGGAAAAATCAATATCCATCAATTTTGTCTCCATCAAATTACCATTGATCTTGGCAATCCTCCATTTATCTTATTTCCAAAACTTGCCACCATAGAATATTGAGTTAGTGGAATAACTTAAAAGAATATTAAGTGGTTAAAAATGCTTTGAGATATTTGGAAAATATGAGCAGAGTTGTAATGCCAGGCTTCAGTTACACGGGAATAGAAACGAAGAATCGAACAAAAGGAAAAAAGGAGCCTGACAGCCGAATAGAGGGGAGAGGAAGCGAGGGGGTCAGAAGCCAAGGAGTTGATTTTGCTTTATAAATGGTTGTATTTGGGAGGCAGGGACTTGAAATTCGAGCGACAATAGAGAAGGGCTCTCTGTTAGGAGGCTTTCGGTGGCTGCAGTGAGTGTGGCTAGGGCAGAGAGTGCAGGAGGAGAACACCGGCGGCGTTTCTTTCATGATAAGGAGCAAGAGATGAAGGGTTCATACGATCTCGTGCACAGAGACGATGGCCGAGGAAGCTTGTGCAAGAAGAACCGAGCCAAAGCTCTCCCGTGTGTTGAGGAAGCATCTCGCGTGTGGTTTTATAAATGTAGGTTATTTACTTAAGTTCTTTAATAAATATTATATTTATATATATATATATATATTATATTAAAGAAGTCTATTATTTAAATGATAAACTTAAGTGCATTTGATTTTAGCACTAAAGAAAGGCTAGGGTTTAATTTTAAAAGTATTTAGTAATAGTTTTAGTTGTAGTTAAATTTAAAAATTTAAATTGTTGAAATTCTAATTAAAATAGGGCGTTACAAGAATAATTCATAATTAAATTAATTATATATTTTATATTTTATAGGTGATAATACAAGAGCAAGCATATCATCTATCATCTGGGTGAGTACTTCTATTTTTAAATTATAATATCATTTTATGGGTAGCAATTTATGTTTGATTAATGCAATTGATTTTTTTATTTTTAAATTTTATGGTCCATTTCAATGGAAATGTTTGTAATCTCATATTATGAAATATTTAATGCATTATATTATTACATCTTAAGTGATATGAAATTATGGATGATACAATCTGCATAGATTGATTGTATGTGCATTACTGACTATGATGAAGTACTCTTTTATGATTTTAACAGATGAATGCTAAGATGTCCGTGCAAGCATATGAAAAATGATATTACTATTGACGTGTCTTAATGACATAAATTTTAGATGGTGTTTTTGTGACTGTTGTACATATATAAAATGATATTGGTATGTTATTGATATTGTAA